GATGCTGGTATAATTTAAAAGCATTAATCATTGTACCCTATATATAAAATGTTGCTGGAAAGAAGGGGGGAATTAATGTGTCCTCCCTTTGCAGTGTAAATGGTGTACAAATCAGAAGAGGAGGTTTAAAATAAAGGCTTGGAGAAGCTTTCTAATAGTGAGGATGGTGAAGCACTAAATCAGGTCACCTGTGAGGGTTGTGGAGCAGGCTAGTTCAATGACTGAAAATTTTTTTGACTTGTAGACCCTTCCTACAAGTTTTCCCATGGAGAATACCTTTTACAGTCAAGTTTGCCAACAGCAACCTTGCTTTTTGAAGTTCCTATCCCTGAAGTGTCGCTGTCCCTGAACCACAAAACTCACTGAAACAGCTTTTCTGTGCCTCAGTACCTCCTTTGAAGTGATGGTAAGTAGGGGCAGAAGCTCCATCCAGTGCCTCAGTAAAGTGGCACAGCATCAGTGCTGCTGAGCTCTCCGTCTGACTCACAGTACTCTCACGTGAGAGCACTATGGCTTTAGATGGCCTGTGAGTAATGCAGAGAACTGTGTGAGAACTGACAGGGAAACCCGCCTGTGCTTATGTTCTTTTAACCCATACAATTTTCTGCTGTGGAAGGGTGTAGTGAAGGAGCTCTAGGTCCTCTCTTTCGTAATAATAAATAGGAATTTTTTATAGAAATCTGCCCAAGTGTCGCTGGAATGGCCAGTAGGGTGGAGTGGGATGGAATGGTGCTAACCTGTAGCCTGACCAGTATAGATCACAAATCACAGAGAGGCTAAAATGATAGGGGGAGGAAAAAAGCTTACTATGTGTAGCAGCAGGTTTGCATTTGCAAAGAGCTTTAAATCCTAAGTAAAAAACATCAACATCATGCTGCAAAAACACTAGGATGGTTGTGCCAGTCTGGAAGCCTTTTCACTATGTGAAGTACCTCCATGTTTTCTTCTCCCTGTCTGTCATTTGCCTTCATTCCCCCTGGGCATTTATATTTTGTTACTGGTTTGGTATCTTCCCTATCCATCAGTCCAGCACATCCCATTAAGCAGCTTTTCTTGATTGACTAATGAGATGCTATATTTGGCAATGCTTTTATCACTGCCTTTTATTACTCAGTCACATTTTCTGCATTTTCACTTGCTATTCTTTAGTGGTTACTCTGTTGTAACTGTACTTACTGTTGTATGCCCATCACCTCACTGGGATTTCTTAGGTCAATTGTTACTCACCTATCCTGTCATTTCCTTGCCCAATCCTTCCCATTTGTGTCCCTCCTACTACTTCATTCAGGTTTTTTCTACCATCTTCCCCATCCAATACATCACTCTCCTCCTATGTCCAAGACCCCCTTTCAAATAATCAAAAAGTAAATAGAGGATAAAAGCATTTTCAGAGGGATATTCATCCTACCTTAAGATAGCTGTCTAAGCCAGGCAGGATGAATCATGTCAGTGGGATCCTATCTCTGTGCATTAACTACAGAAGTCTAACTAGGACAGACCAGATCCTTAACTTACAGAGACTTAAGTGTAAGTAAGATGAATACTATTCATGTAGGACTTAAAATACTGAGTATTAAGACAGCATGTGTTACTGCTGTCATTACAGATGACAGAAGGGTAATTTAGGAAGCTGTTTGTAAATCATAAGATTTTGGTAGTTGTTTAGCCCACAGCACTAAGACTATTTGGAATCAACACATTTTTGAATCACCTTTTTGTGTCTCGGTGATTAGCAGCATAAAATTCCAGGTGCAAGCTGGCCTTTTAATCCAAATAATAGCTTTTTCCCCATCATATATAAATACAGCCTTCACATAGCAGTATGTTAACTGCAGTAATGCTATTCTCAGAAGATTAAAAGAAATATTCCTGCTTTCATCTGCCTAGCATATTCTGAGGCTGTGAGGTATTTCAGAATTAGCATAAATACTGGTCTAGATGTGCTCTTTCAGCTTTTACTTAAAGAGATTGCTGTATTCTTGACACCTGCTTATTTCATTCTCCAAAAATGTAACCTGTGAGAATAAAGAAAATAACTCAAGAACAAAATGTAGAGCTCCTTCCTTCTGTTGTGTGGTGGCTTTACTGACATAACTCTTAGACATCAAGACAGAACCAAGGCTGTACCAATTCAAAACTTCTTGGGTTTTATCAGGACAATGATATACTTTTCACTGACGAGATTTTTGCACACACTGTGTATGGTAGAGTATTAATGTAAATCCGTCTGGTTCTGCCAGCATAGATGCTGAGGCTGCCGTTTACCCAGTTCAGAAGTCCTGTGTAAGCTGGCCCATTGTGCAGTACAGCTGCCCAAACTTCTGCTGTGTGCTTAGGCAGGGCATGGGTGCACCATGCATCAGCTACCATCTCGTAGTTAAGAGTGTGTCTGCCCTTGTTTCGTGGCATTTCACTGCATTCACTGTGGGTGCAATTGGCACAGGGTGGCTAAAGTGCTGCGATTCTGTACATTAATAACTTGTGGCTTGTTGGTGCCCTTGGAAACCTATTGGGAACTTACCTGTGTAGACATGCCCAACAGGATGATGCCCTGTGTCCATGTCTGATATGTTTGGATGTTGCTTTAAATATGCTGTTAGCAAAATATGCAAAAGGGATGTATCATTAAAACCAGAGTTAAAAGATCTTCAAGAGAAGGTTTGGCTGATGTCCACACCCAAATAGGTAACTGCTAACTCTGGTTTTCCTGCATGGACAAGTGTGAGAGATTGGAAAATTAAACATAAGCAGGGAGAGCAGTTACAGATAAACATGATCAGCAATAACCTGTAGAGAGATTCATGGTAGTGTCTCACTGGCAATAGTCAGTGGCTTGGAGAGAATCCTTATCACAAGAAATCCCTTTATTGCCAACTATACACATGCCCTGCTCTTACACACTGTGGGCTGCTGCTGCTGAGAGATGGTCTGGCTCTGACTTGCTGCAACAGCTGTTAGGGTGGAGGTGAGGAAATTCTGCTAAACAAATTTGAAGATACATGAGTAACTGGAGGGAGAGAAGGTACATATCTCTCTTCTGTGTGTCCATATTTGTGGATTTTCAAATATATATATTTTATGCCTTCCCTGTGTGGAAGTTTTAAGAATCTGCTAATGTATCTAGCTTGGAAATGTGAACCACACTGACGTGATGTCTTTGTTTTTTCTGGTGCAACTCCTATGAGCCTAGATGATATGCATGATAAATCTTTCACCTTGGCAGAGAGAGAGAGAATTGTTTAATATTTAACCAAGGTTGTCTTTTACTTCAGCATCCATCAATAGGGGACTGCAGTAACAAATATGTAAAACTGTATTTGTTTTGCTAAGAGGAGTGCTTGGAAGGAGAAAGGGATAACCTTTCCCTAAGGAATAGGCTTCAATTAGAACAAAAGACAAGACTGTTTTTAGAATAGATCAAATTAAGCCCACATGACACTGAAATAGTTTAATACTTGTTTAAATAGCACCATATTCAAAACACAGTAGTTGAAACAGTGGCTTTTGAATCAATGTGGTTAAATTGTGCAAGTTGCCTTGTCTGTTGCACTCGTCTACTCAAGTTCTCACACCAGACTATCTGATTTTCCCATGGGGAGCAGTGAGTCAAAGTTCATGTCATATTATCTCCTGTTTACTGAAGAAAACGGTCCAGTGAACCAGTTATCTGAACTCACTGAATCACGGATTCTTTAAGGTTGGAAAAGACTTCCAAGATTGAGTCCAACCTTTGACCGAACAGCACTGTATCAATTAAATCATAGCACTAAGTGGCATATCCAGTTGTTTCTTGAGCACCTCCAGGGATGGTGACTCCACCACTTCCCTAGGCAGCCTGTTCCAATGTCTGACCACCTCTTCAGTGAAGAAATTCTTCCTGATGTCCAAACTGAACCTCCCCAGGCACAGCTTGAGGCCATTTCCTCTTATCCTGTCACTAGCTGCATGGGAGAAATGGCCAAGCCCTACCTGGCTACAACCTCCTTTCAGGTAGTTGTAGAGAGTGATAAGGTCTCTCCTGAGTCTCCTCCAGGCTAAGCACTCCCAGCTCCCTCAGCTGCTCCTCATAAGACTTACTCTCCAGATCCTTCCCCAGCTTCATTGCCCTTCTCTGCACATGCTCCAGCACCTCAGTGTCTTTCTTGAAGTGACTCCCAGTTGTTCACCCTTCTTGCTAAAGAAAGAATTATTTTTTAGTATCTGTAGATTCTTCAAGGTTAGATAAGGAGCTGCATTCTAGAGCTGCATTTAGTTACATTTACACCACTGGGAAAAATTCTTGTTACTGATTGTAAGCATCCTGCCTGGCCTGCTTTTTCATCCTTTTTGGAAATTTAGCAGAGCTTTTAAAGGGAAAGTGTAGAATTAAGAAAGGTTTAACCCAAGTAATTTTTTTTTTTCGTGACCGTTTAATAGATCCGAGCTGCATCTCAGCTCTGTACAAATCTGGTATGTTGCAGGTAGGAAAGAGCTGTGTGTCACAATTTCCTGTACTCAATGCATTTTTTACCAGTCTCAAACGAATTGTTTTTGTCCTAGTGGCGTGTGTCTTTGTTAATCATTATATTTTCTCTCACTGAGTTTGTAAAATATCTCAGCAACCTATAGAAATAACCTATAGAAATAAACCTACTGACAGAATGCTGTAGTCTTGCAGATAAAAAAGCTCTACTACACCTTTGAAAGCCCAAACAAGAAAAAAAAAACCCAAACCTGTTTTCTCACAGCTTTTAAAAATTTTGCTATGAAGGATGTTATGAATAGGGTGTTTAAAGTAGAACTGAGGTGCCTATGGGCTAAAGAGCTGGAGATTTCACAGAAAATGAGTGGGCACGTGCAGCTTTCCAATACTTACTCTGTTGGGCTGAAACCTGTCAGCTAGAATTGCCTTTGAATACCCAGTCTTGCTGATTAATGTGAAGGCTTTCTACCAACACATACAAAAGAATCCTGCCAGGAACAGGGGCAGGCAGTGAGTGATGCTGTGCTGCCTCTTGCAGATGCGCACAACGCGCAAGGTGTCCGTGTGGCCCGTGGGGCTGGTCGGGGGACGGCGGTACGAGCGCCCGGTCGTGGAGAACGGCAAAGTTGTTGGCTGGTACACGGGCTGGAGAGCTGACAGGCCCTTTGCTATTGACATGGCAGGTAAGGATCCATTTACATGATATATGAATGTTTCTCATAGTAACTGATTTTCTCAACGTAAGCAGCTTTTAAAACTTCCCAAGTGTCAGCACTGCGTGCAGCCCTTTGGCACTAAATATCCTGGAAGTCTTAGCTTGCACATCTTGTCTAATTAAGTTGCTGCTTGGTGATATCTGAACTTACTTTCATTTATTTTTAATTTTATGTGGCAACGTGGCTTTTATGTTGTATAAATTGTTCATCTGAAACAAGTTAATTGTAAGTTAATTCACCCAAGTAATTTTTGCAAGGAGCACCTGCCTGTCATTGTGTCAGCAATCTAAACCAGGCAGTATAAATGCAGACCTTTCTTAGACCTCATGTTGTAAAATGCTACTGTATCGTGAAATTATTCATTTTGTATCGGTTATTTGGGATGACAGTGATAACTACAGATGGATATAGTTTGAAACACTGGGCTTAGGTGAAAAATCACTGACAGCTATCGCCTAGTAGATGAAGGTAGAAAAGCTTCAAAATGGATGTAATCAATCTTCTGCAGTGAAGTTTGCACACTACACAGCTCTGTCTTGCTGTCAGTCCATGCTTAGACAATCTTTTGAATATGTTCACAACTGCCACATGAATCACCACTGTGCAGAAGTCCAATTTCTGATGTAGCAGCAGCTGATTTCCTAGCAAGTGATGTGATATTTGCACTTAGGCATCTTCTGCATTAAGGAGCGAAGGGGAAAAGTAGGAATACAAGGGCAAGAACAGGAGAGAAATAGCCACATTTTTTTCTTTTTTTTTTTTTTTATTCTGGTACACTTGTGTTTTGGGAGAGAGAAAAGAACAGTGCTTTCTCACTTTGGCAGAATGTATTAATTGAAATGTCAGATGATAAATATGTACAGTATATACAGTCGTATTGTTTAAAAAGAATAAAGTGCTAATCATTTTCAACACCACAAAGATAGAAACATCAGCCAGTGATTTTTTCTGCACTGTAGGGGCATTTCAAGACAATAATACCACGTGGCATAAAAATTAATATTTGTGTGTTCAGGCAGAGGTGTTCCTCAGGGGAGATGTAGGTATGTCAATGCCCAAACCCATGCAGCATGTCGAGGACTGCAGCTGGGCATTTTAACAGCCTCTGCCTGTGGATTCATAGATACTTACCGATACTGTGCTGTAGAAGGGATTACTGATGGGCATTATTTAGGTGAGAGCATGGTTCATAATTCATTAGCAGCAGGCAAAAAGCCATTACACTACAATGGCCAAGAGACTCTAACCCAGACATGAAGAGATACATGGAAAGTTCTTAAGTTGTGGTTTACTTTGCAGTTGCTGGCTGAATCACTGGCATGAGGGAAAAGCAGCTCCATTAGGAGCATTACCTGCTTGTACTTTTTCATAAAAGTCACAAAAGGCAGGGTTATAGAGACAAAGAAACATTGATAGTACAGGAAGTTACTGCAGATCCACAAACAAGGAGTTACTACTTTGTAAGACAACTCTTTATTAGTCTTCAAAAATAGTGAAGAAATTACATTTTTAATTTCAGCAAGGAGAGAAATGGATGCTGTGTAAAGTGCTAAAAAAATTATGTGAAAGTTGCATCTTCAATCCCCTCAGGAATACAGTGGAAGGGCACTAACGAACAGAACTGCAAATCCAGAACTGCATAGGTGCCTGAGCAGGTGCAGTCTACAGGACACATGTCAACACTCAGTTTCCTACCCGTGCCCTTTGCTCCCGACTTCCCAACACACCCCTGCAGACTTGGGAGACTTGCTGAAAAACCCAAGTCCATGCTGTGGTCCATCAGTGGCATTTCTCCATCGGCTGCACCAAACACACAAGCAATTTAGGTTATACTGCACATAAGGAAGTTCAAGGACCTCTTTTGAAAATATTGCCATGAAAAAAGTACAGGTGCATGTATTAAACTGCTCAGCTGTCTACAGTTAACGTTCTGATACACAGTGCACTGGTAAGGAGGCTCCCTTTGGTTTACTGAACTGTCTTTTCATAGTGATTTTCATAAGAATTTGATCATGAGTCAGGGTGTGAACACAGGACTGCTTAAAAGGTTTGGGATCACTGATTTATCGTGTGGATGTTCAGATGAAGCACATCCTTGCTTTTAAGTACATAAAGCTTCTTATTCTAGGCTTCAAAATACAAGGTCAAATTCAAATTACTGCAAGTGGAGAAAGGTCCTGATGATTTCACTGGGCTCAGCTCAAAGACCCCAGGTGGCCAACCTCCCCAGATTCTTTGAAACACACTCACACATTGCAGTCACATTAGATCAGTTCATTAAGCACTGGTTATTTATTTTGAGAAATTTGTGGCTGACACTCCTATTCTCCAATGATAAATTGCATTCAGAAAGCAGAGTAGCTGTTTCCTGTGCTGCTTCTTGACTTGCAACCAGCACATCATATGAATTAGTTCAGGTGTTTTCTAAGTTCTGCTTCAGTTTTAACTGCAGGTGAGTTCTAGAGTTTGACACAAACTTCCTTACCCTCAGGAAGAAAAGTGAGAATGCTGAAAGCAAAAAGGTGACACTGATTCTGAATTAGGCAGTGTGTTATTTAGTATGGACCTGATTTAAAGTCTTCTATATTAAATACTGCTGTTTTAAATTTGGCTTGTTCCCAGTGCCAGAGTTTTGGATGACCCATGAAAACATGTTACATCATGATTCTCCCAGTGTCAGGATTGTTCAAGAAGGCAGACACATACTTTACATTAGCATTCCAGGAGTTACTTCAGTCACATTTACATGCCTGTAAACGACTAGGCAAGCAAATTTTGGATGTGTGGCCCATAGCTCATCCACTGTGCCCAAAGAGCCTCTGCTAGGGCCTGAGGAAAACCTTTTTTTTTTTTTCATTTTCATTTTGCTATAGTTATGAGTTCTTCAGTACATCTCATCTTTCTTAGGGTTCCCTGAGCAAAAAGCTAGTCTAATCATGACAACACAAAACATGGCATATTTTGAGTGAATCTGAAAGAGCCACTGCTGGAAGACAGAAGTACAAACCAAAAAGTTTTGAGTGGTTATGGCAGACAGCATGCTTAAAAAACCAAACCCCTCTCCACGAAAAGGGTAAATACTATTTTAAACATTGAGTTTACAATCAAGAGCCTTTCATGGTGAATTAATTGTGAGCAGATGCCTTTGTTCTGAACTACAGAAACCCCTGGTTAGGCATCTCTGCCTTACTGCAACCCAAACAGTGTGTCACAGGGAAAATAGAACTTGAGAGCAGCAGAGCCCAAGCCATGGCACGTCCAACAAGCCAAAGGCGGTACCTCAAACCATGTGGACAGCAGTTGGTCTGTTTCTGCATTAGCACTGAGCATTAACATTTATACTCTCCAGAAATGATAAACACTCTGTTTCCAGGTTGCCTTCAGCCACTACCCTATCTAGAACATTTAGGAAGCAATGGCATTAATCACGGCAACAAAATCTTTAAACACTGGTTCAAGTTTAACTGAATGAAGAAAAATAGTTCTGCCTCTTAACAGAAGCCACTGATCTAACACAAGGCAAGGTGTGAATTAACAGAAACAGCTTACATTGAAAGAAGCACAGATATAAACTTTGCCGCATCTCCCAGGTACCTTGTCCTCCAGCAAATTAATTCTTGTCTGGGTGGTTCTTCAGCCAATTAGATTTAATTTACAACCTTGCATTAAACACCATAAAACCCCCAAAACACCTCTTCACACTCCAGCTATGAAATTGTCTTGTGGCATTTCGTGTGAGCTTAAGCCCAATATGACCTTGTAGGAATAATGATTAAGTAAAATAACTGTATGAACATTAGCACTGTTCAGTTATGCTACACTGGAGACAGTAATCCCAAATTAATCCCTGTTTGGTGATAGAATTCAAAATAACAGCACCTTTTCATCTATTAGCACAGGATCATTATCTACTGAGAGAAATTAGTAGAGAAATTAGTGCCAGTTTGGTCAAAACCTGAGCCTCATTCTGACATCAAAATGATACATCTGTGATAAAAAGTCAATAGAAAGGTGTCACTAGAAAGTGCTTTTCTTTCAAGTCCATCTTACAAATTGTCATACATGTGAAATTAAAGCAGTTATAAAGCAAAGCTGAAGAACTAAAAGAGCCAAGGGATAAATCTGCTTGCATTATTTTATCTCCTCAAGTTGTTGCTTTATTGGATTTTTTTAAGAAACAAAGACTGCATGACCACTGACCAAGGAAACAAACCTCAGGCCAGTCTGTGCACAGTAGTCTGTGTCCTTGCCACGCACAACACTGAGTTTATAATTTAAGTTTTATTTGATGCCTGATTTTTGATAGCACCCTATCATGGTAGTTTGCAATAGCATGGTAGCAAGGGCATGTGTTACATGCAGGGGGCACGGCCCATCTGTGCGTAGCAGACATCCACCCTCAGAACTCCATGCAATTTTCTCAACAGAGGAGCAAGCGTAAGAAATTAATCAATGCATGGATAAGTATGGGCTGTGAGAGCCAGGGAGCCACACTGATACACACTAAGATAAGCAGTGGAAAATCTGTGCCTCTTCTGCTTAGAATGGGATTCCTTCCCCACTCTAAAAACTAGGCCACTACATTAATTATTTTGGTGTTTACTTCATTTTTTCGTTTATGCATGGCCAGCTTGAATCTTAAATATTTTTGAAAAGAAACAGCAGCTCACACAGCTGATCAGGATTCCAACAATGCCTTCCCATGCAAAGCAACAATTTTTTTTATGTGCCCAAAACTATCAAAGCGCAGTTGCATCCAAAATTTACTGCTTGCTCTAATAGAGGAAGAAAACCCAACAAAACCTAACCAAAACCACTGAACTGAAGCAGGTCAATTTGTTCATCAGTATTAAGTCTAAGGTCCCTTTCAAGGTGCTGCAAGCTGGCTGTATGCACTGCTGCTGTCTCTTGCTGAGGGAGTTTAAACGCTCAACCTCAGCTCTTCCCAAATGATTACGCTTGTCTACCAACAAAACTGGGATGGGGCCCATCTTGTGCTCCCTCATGACCAGGCTACAAGTTGTAGGAAGCAGGAACGGCCTGCAGCCTGCTGCAGACAAGCCCCTGCTGGGGAAGAGAAGTCCAGAGCCATTATTCTGCCTGGGAGCACTGAGCTAAGCCCAGCAGCTGCAGCAGAGAACAGCTGGATCCCAGCAGTGCTGCTGCAGAGGTTAACTGAGTGAGGACAGGCTACAGCCAAGGTCTCACACCTCCTGGAAGTCTTTTGTTCACTAGACTGTTCTGTAAGGTGTGGGCAATGTGCCCTCTCCATCTAGACACCTATTTTTCTTTATCTCAGACAAGATATAATGTATAAAGTTACAAAAGAGGTATAACATGTCTTCTGCAACCTGTGTCCATCAGTGAACTGGACCTTAATTTATGTCCCAACCCATAGTCTTTATCAGGGTCCAAATCTTTATTTAAAACAAACTTTTTGGTGCCTTCCTGTGCTTTCCTGCAAGCAAGAGCATAATAAAGTGGTTGGTTTCAATAGGCCTTTCTTTACACGTGATGTAATAATTACTTCCTTATATTTTCCTCTTCAAAAGGCCCCCATAAAAGTCACAGATACTTTAAAGGAAAATACGGTAGCAAGACAATTGTAATAAAAAAGGGGTCAGTATTATATTGAGTTAGAGAAAGTTATGCTCAATTTTAAATCCATAACATTTTAATACTGGCTTTAGAATTAAATGTTCTTGCCATTTTCCAGAACTGATGTCAAGACTGTTACTACTTGTGTCATAAAGGGACAGCTGGAACCACTCTGAACTGACAAAGAAAGGATTTCTTTATTAGGCTTGGCAATCAGACATAATGAGTTAGTTCCAATTTTATTTTTTCTTTACAAGTCTATCAGTCGAGTTTTGAGTTCTACTGAAAGAACCATACATGTGACTGAGCACTGCTGAAGGAAAACTGGAGAGTTCTATAAATTATGGCAAATTGGAGATTCATGGGAGCTTCTTCAGAGAGGGCAAGTTTGTTCAAACCAGTGACTTCTCAGTGTGCAACCTCCCTTCAAGGGACCTAATGCACGTTGCAGGAGGAATGCATCACAGAGGGACGTGTGCACTGAAAAAGTCCTTTCAGCCATGCTGTGCCATGCACAGATCACCTACAGACTGCCTCGCAGACCACCAGTGATGAAAGTCATTCACAAGTCCACAATAACTACACAGTGTGCAAGGCAGAGCATTAATGTGGCTTGTCTTTCACCATCAGTAATGTTAAAAACTCTATACAGGCTGAAACTCTCTAAAGATCACAGTTGTAATGTATTTTAACCTTTTTTCTTTCATCTTTAAATGTAGAAGTATTTGTACAGTATAAATTTTATACATTTTATTTTACTTAAAATTGAGTTTTATTTCTTAATTAGAAGTAGAAATGATGAATAGTCCAGGATCTTAGCAATATCTGACTTTTCAGGACAAAAAGGTATATATTCCTTACATGATAGGAAATAGATTAAACATGTTGAAAATATGGTGCAAATAAACCATCTGATTGTATCTTGAGGGCAAACCACAGAAATGTAAGATGTACAAACCTACCGAATACTATCTATTCATATAATCAAATTTCCACAATTTTAAAAAGACATGGGAGATTTCTAGGTTTCAGTGTAACTGCACAAAAATGTAAAGCCTAAAGGTTTTTCTTAACATTTTCCCTGTCCCCCTCTATCCAAGGATTTGCTGTGAGTCTTCAAGTGATCCTGTCGCATCCCAAAGCCGTATTCAAGCGTCGTGGTTCTCAACCAGGAATGCAAGAATCTGATTTTCTGAAACAGATAACAACAGTGGAGGAACTGGAGCCAAAAGCAAACAACTGCACAAAGGTAGCAAGTTCCACACTTTCTAAAAAGCTTTTATGTCATCTCTGTAGATGACTGTACTGACACAAATGTTATTTTATAGGTTCTGGTATGGCACACGCGAACAGAGAAGGTGAATCTAGCTAACGAGCCAAAGTACCACCTGGATACAGTCAATATTGAGGTATGATGTGGGGAGACAGTCACACAGCAAGTGCAGGACAACGGACACGTCAGCACGTGTTTGAATTCAGCCAGTTAAAATCATCTGGTTCTGTGTGAGACCTGATGGACTTCTGTGGAAAAAAAAGGAAGCTGTCAGAGACTCTAGTAAGCAAATCATGTGGGTGTGCTTGTTCTAACTTGTCTGCATGCATTTCTGAACTCTCAGCTTAATAAACTGACACTTACCTTTGTTTTAACGCTGTTTCCACATAGAGAAACGTGGTGTAATGGAATTTTTTCAAAATCATTATTTATGTATATACTTTTTGTATTTATCCAGCTTAATGGTGTAATTATAAACTGATTTTAACTCACAAACTGTTGATCTAAATATCTGCATAAATGGATCCTCTAAACCGAACATGTTTTACTTCATTAGAAGTAGCGGTCAAATAGGTCATACAATAACAAAATAAAAACCCAAAATCATTTACGGATTTATCCTTTTAATATAGGGAAATAACATTTTATCATTACGAGGCACCATAAAATGTAAACACAATCACTGTCATAAACCTGGATCTCTGCAAGGAAAAATATATCCATTCATTTGGAGTTACCCTGTATGCATATTGTGCCGCCAGTTCTCAGCATTAATACTGTGCGTGTGCCTCGTGAGCCAGATCAGAGACTTTATCACAGGAAACTCAAATGCATCAAATGCTCGTTTTTAAAAGAATAAACTATTGATTTGTAGAACTACAGTAACATCCAGGTTTATCTTTCTTTCAATAACCACATTCCCTGTTATGCACACCATAATAACATCACAGTGAAATGTATGATGAAACAAAATTTGTCTGATACACTAGAAAACATTGCTCAGTGATACATTTACATTCTATTTATATATGATTAAACATTTGTTCATACAGTACCTTCTACAGGATTACTGGGTAATTTGGGGGGATTGGGGTTCATATTTTTGGATATTACTAACATGATAGCTACGTCCCTTATATGCAAACATTTGATCTAGAATTTTGAGGGAAAAAAATCAGTATGTGGTTAAGCAGCTTCTTAATATGGTCTATGAAATCATATGCATTGTATGAAAATGCTTCCAATGATGTATAAATATATTCTTGATCTGCTTTTCACTACATCAAATTTAAATCAATATAGACCACAACACGGTCAGTCAGTTATATTCTTAATCTGAACAGCTGGGGAAAAAAAAAAGAATATATATGTACATGGAAGGAACAGCAAAAGTAAATGCATTTGAACAAGGAATGTTAGGTGGCTGTTCTGGGTGAGACTTCTATTGCAACTTTCATTTCCACAGTTGTGTGCTGAGAGTCTGGCCAGAGGAGCTTCCAGTCCATCCTGCCGCTGTGCTGGGGGGCTGGCCAAAGCCCATCACGTTGCTGGAACTGCCGAGGTTCATTCCAGCCATTTGCTGATTCATCTGCAAAGCACAAACACACACATGAGCCTGGTTAGCGCTGGCACTGAACCACAGCATGCTGCTGGCCAAAAGCAGTCCTGCCTCCCATCAGCCACTCAGTGAATAGTACATTTCCCTAAAAATGTTTTTCATTAAATAAAAATACTGACTCAGTCTAAGTTTCTAAGCCTTTTTCCACGCTACCAGTTTTTCTGGAGCCCTTCAATCACCTTCAAATACACCAGCTGACAGGCTGCAGCACTTGGTGTATGTGTCACATCTGTATGAATGTTCCACTAAGGAACCAACACAGCACGTGAGGGAGATGGCCAATGTGGCTGGTTGGTAAGAGTTTGCTTTCACAGTGTCAAAGCTAACCAAGAGAACTGTGGTTAGAGAGATAAAGAGACACCAGAGCCAGTAATATAGCCTTGTCTGCACTTGCAACTCCAGGTATTTTTTTTTTTTTGTTTTGGAGACCTCATTTTTATTTGGAGACCTCATAATCTTAAATATACAAGTTTTTATACAAATTGTCTATTTAGGTGGCAATCAGCAAAGAAGGAGGTGGATTTATAAACTTGAGTATTATCTAAATCTAACCAGTCTTGCTAAAGAATCTACTCAAGATGCTGTAATTCCTTAAATGAATGAAATAATTCACATGAAATTAAATTCACATGAATTTAGCATCTGGTTAAAGGTGGGAAAGAGTTCAAAATTCAGCACATTCACTTCAGGTATGGTGCAAAACTATTCATACTCCCTAGAAATATTATCCAGTCACTGTAATTTTCAGTGCTCAATGTAAAAACAAGTTTGAGAGCAAAAATTATTCTCTGCTTATGTTACCTTTAATTGAATTATTCACTGATTTGTTAACACATGCCTATGCCTCTGAGCAGTTCATAGTCCAGCAGTCTGTAAGATGGCTACACTGTACCTTCCTCCTACAGCCACACATCTTGTATCTGAAAAGCAGCATTTTTTCTAAAGCACTCTTGTCTGGGAAGCCAGCCTTTACCTGAGAGAGGTTCCATTGAGCTTGTTGGTTTTGTTGCAATCCATACTTATTTTGTGGTGGTGTGACCATCTGTCCCACCATTCCACCTTGAGGTCCAACGACATTTTGAGGAAGTCCCATCACACCAGTTTGTGCAGTGCCAGTAAATCCATTAGGCATTCCCATTCCTAGCATCACGCCTGTGCTCTGTCCCATGACTGGCACCGATTGTCCCATCACGTTTCCCATCATCCCAGTTGCTGCTGGCACAGGAACTCCCATGGCTGGAAAGCCTTGAAAGTGAGTTGATGGTTGTGTGGTAAATGGCATAGAAGATGACCCCATGAACATACCTGTACCAGAGAAGGGAAGATTTCAGCAACAGCATTTTGTGATTTTCCTCCCCCATCCCAATAGGTCGGAAGTGCACCAAAATAATTTCAAAGGATAACTGTATCCAGTTGTATGTCAGAGCTGTCAATTTAGCTTCTGTTAAAACTGAAAAATTGCTTAAAACCCTGAAAGGAAAGGGTCTCGCCATGAAATTAACTGCCAAGAAGAGTCTGGAAAATCCCTGTGGTCAACCAGAATCTTTTAATTGCTGTATTGGAGGTCTTTGTTTTCACACAAACATAACTTAAACCTAAGTTCTGACAGCTCCATACAGATCTTGGCAGCTGCTGGTTGCACAGTGGAGACTCAGATCTTCAGCAATGAATTAGATCACAGAAGATGAGTTCACAAATCTTTCAGTAAACTGTACACTTGATAATTTGAACAGCTATAAATAAATTAAAATCACATACCGTGTTTTTCTTTACCTTCCGTATTACATTTCAGTAATTTTTCTCAGTTTTATAAAAGGTAAAATTAAAAATCTTCATTTGAATATAGTTAGCAGGTAGCCAACCTTAGCTTTATACTTGTAGGAGATAACTGTTCTAAGTAAAGCTTAAACTAGGACTGCACAAAAACCTTCACAAAATTATTTACCTGGAGCATTTTGCTGCTGCATGGTTCCTGTGCCATACAGTGATAAAATGGAGTCTTTGGAGAGTTGTTTCTTTGCTGACTCTTCGGATTTTGTTGTTTGCTCAGTAAATAGATCAAGATCCCCGGATGCCGCAGATAAGGTGGCAGCTGCGGGTTTAGTGGAAGTGCTCTGGGAAATAAAAGTCAAGACAGACTACTGAATGAAACTGGAAAAAGATGCTCTGTTAAATATTTACTGCACAGCCTTGCTCCTCAATCAAATAAAATCCTGCTCATTTACAGAAACTAAATTAAAGTAAATGAGGATTTAAAAAGATGTGGTATGACTAAAGACAAAAAAGCAGTGCATATGATAAGGAACCACCACCAGACCAGATGGAGGTTACAAAACAAAGAAAACTAAATCCTTGACCAGCTCCAGGGTGTACACATACAGATTATTCATTCCTTTTGCTTCTACATTTTTCATCAGTGAGAAGCATAAATCAAGAGCTGGAGTTAGATTACGAAAAATAATTAGGAAATCAATAAGGAGATTATGATTCACATCTCATTAATCCTCTCATAGGCAGAATAGATTAGAGAAGAGCTAAAACAAAAGATTAAGTGCTTTGAAATGTATCTTTGGAGAAAACGCAGAAGTAAAATTTTGGTTATCTACTTAAAGTAATAAAATTTCTAAAATACAATGTTTATAATTGGCTTAGACTTCTTTAAGCACGTTTCACTTATTGAGAAAACATAATTATCAAAAACTTACTGTAGTAAGACTGAAAAACTAAAATACAGGCAGGCTGGCAGGCTTTTTATTGCTCTTACACTAAAATATTTTGTAAACAAATTATATCCAGGTGTCTCTCAGTGCTGTTAATCTGTCGCTTGTACACGTTAAGTTCCATATGGGGGCTTGCTTAGGGAATGAGGCAATACATGGGTTCTTGTTATATTCCTTAAAATACACACAACTCATCGTGTTTCCTTAAAGCAAGTCAAGTGTATGCACATTGAAAAAGAGCCAGGATTGCAAAGCATCCTTGCATTATGGCCTTGTTTTAGTCCAGCTAAATGATTCCCAACTGCTTAGCACACACCTGCTGCATTCCACAGCATGTGAGTTTCAACTCTTTCCCATACGAAAGGAAAATCTTCCTTGGACTACCACTGTGAAAGAACTGGACACGTAACCAGGTCCATCTGTTTTCTGTCAACACATACCCAAGTTTATCAGACAGGCATGAGGACGCGACAAAATATTCAGATCTGGAACACTCACAAATCTTCCTTAAAGTAACAAGCCTCTACCTTCTGGTTTTGCTGACTATGCCCTAAAAGTACATTATGCTCACACCAACACCACAATACAAACATTCAATTTGCAGCTTCAGAAAACACATCTGACTCCTGAAGTGCCTACAACCTCTAGATTAAGGCAGTGCCATAGATCAGGGAAGAAATAACCACAGAACAATTCTGTTACCAGTTAAATTTGTCAAACCAAGAGAAAGGAGTGTAGATTCGCATAGCTGATGGTGAAAAACCTCCAAAACTGCTGCAGAAAGGGAAGAGAAAAAAAACCAAGAAATGAGAACTTCCTGGCAACTGAAAATCTTCATTTATACTACAGCCAATTTGGGCCAAAGTCACTAGGACTTAGTGAGCAACAAAGAGTGGGCTGATGGCACTACAAAGGGAAAACAGACAGAAAAAGATGAGTGAAACCTTCTCTCTGGCCAATGTACACTTAAACTATCAATTTTTTCCTACTAAAAAAAAGCTTCTGCCTCTTACTACTCACAAGAATTTCTGATTGCAAAGCAAAATCAACTTTTTTTGAATGGGTAGCAGGAAGCCCCCTCTATTTGAGCCAATTCTTTATCAGGGTGGCATAACCAATCTTTAAAAATACCAGAGTCAGATTTAACGATACATACAGGTAAAAGCCCGTCCTGAAGAGCAGTATTTGTTTTACTGTGCATACATCCAGGAAGTCCCATTATTGAATTGTTCCATACTGACACGGATCTCCTCCCATGGCATCTGCCTAAGACAGTGCCCTGTGTGACAGCTGTGCTCAGCAGACTGAAGGAAGGAGGACACATAAGCAGTGGGAGTGGGTGAACAGAGGTGGCTTCCCCTCCATTGCCTGCACTGCAGCAAGGAAGGGGTTTGCTTTTCTCTAGAAGGGAGAGCTGGAGACCTGGAGGACTGATCACGTTATGTTTACATCCTAAATGTTCATTTAATGTCTCTTCATTCAGTTTGGTTATAGAAGATCCGCACTGAACAATCACTCCCTGAAGTGTTCATCAGCTGAATAA